GGCACGCGTCATCAAGCCCGGCTTGATCGTGCCCTGCTTCGTGCAGCCCGGCTGCACGACAGCACCCAGCTTCAGTGCCGGACGTTTGCAACTGTCCGCACAGCTTGTCGCATCGACTCTCGGAGTGGATGCATCGTCGTCACCTCTACGCCTTGCGGCGGAATACCGTCTCGATATCGATATCGAGTGCGTGTCAACTCCCGGTGTTGACACACCGTTGTCACCTCGACGCCTCACGGCGGAGAACTCTCTCGATTTTGACATCGAGTGCGTGTCCACTCCCGGAGTCGACACGCTGGGGTAACCTCGACGCCTTACAGCAGAGACTTTCTTCGTAGTGTCTGGTCTCTGGCCGGACACTTCTCTTCTGTCAACGACTCCCGGAGTAGTTAAAGCCCTCGCACTCCACGCGCTACGACCGGAGACAACGGGGCGAGCCGCTGTCTCTGTCGGAGGTTCGGATGCACCGTTAGGTGTATCCGCTGCGTTAATAGGGCCATCGCTCTCTGTTGCGTTGCGCGTCCGAAGCGTACGACCGTACGGTTCTCACAATCGATAATAGGATCATGCCGCGCAAGCCACGGCATGCCCAACACCATGTCGAACTTGTCATCCAAGTCCAGGACAAGAAGTTCTTCCACAAATACCCGGTGTTCGCGAAGCGTGTGTGAATTACGCGCTTCTCGATATTCACGATAGCACCGGTTGCCAATCGTTCTTCCAATTGACTTCGAGGCACATGCTTCTCCTCGAAGTCCAACAACGGTAGCCTTTGCTGTCGAACAAAGTTGTTCTACACGCCCGAGTCCACAAACACTCGAAGATAGTCCGCACTCTTCGACGTCGACTTCGCCATCAAGATGACAAGATTGGGCATGTCATCTTGCACTTTCCAGTGAGACTCCCTCTCACTGGGGGCTGCCGTCCTCTATATCGCGTGTCTGTTGTAGACACACGTGACTACATTACTAGTAGGGCGCCCGGGTCTACTGGTCCTTTGCGTTTTTGTTCGACCGTGGCGATATCCAGTATTGCCACGGCCGACCTTGGCTTGAGAGTACAGATGCCATACAGTCACGTGTATAGGGATCCATGTTTCCGAACCACAAGCAT